TAAACCTTTCCTTATCAGTGTAAAAATTCAAAGTTTGTTAAGTAATAGAAAGAGGACTTTGGGATGTTTTTCTCCAGCCTGCCCTAATATTTGCCCATTTTCTTTGTGTCTGTGTGATTTCAGTTGCAGCTAATTTGCAGAAAATTGTGGAAGAGCCCCAGGCAAACAGATCCATCACTTTCAGACTGGTATTTATTCCTGTTCCCTAATTGATCCAGTTGTCCCTTGCAAGGAGAAGGCATTGCATGTAGATGTTTACTGCAGGCATCTGATGTATGCACTCTAAATCCTCCCTTCTTTCCCAAAGCTTCTTATTGGTTGTGTAACTGTAGGCACTTCAGGCTCCCTGCTTGTATCCTTGAGCAGCACCTGGATAAATAAGCATGAGATGATGTGTTAATTAATATATGTAAATGTTGCAGAGGGGTAATTTTGGGGCTTGGGATGTGCACCTGCAGAAATATTTCAAGGCAGATGGATGGGCTAAGAATTGCCACAAACTCCTTTTTTGGAGGAAGAGAGTGAGGGAGGATCCAGATAGATTGTTCCTGAGGAGGAAATGGGGAAATGAAGAAGAAAAACGGAAGATAAGAGTGGTGGGCCAAAGAAGAGAGCCAAAACTTGAGGTGGTGAAATTCAGGGGGAGTTACAGTGGCAAAGGAAATGTGCAACCAGGTTATTGGGAGTGAAGCATTAAGTGCTCTTATGTACTCTTCCTGTAAGGAGTTTTTACTTGTTTTACCCCAGTTACTGTATATATAATGTCTAGTTGGAGTAGACATTGGCAAAACTTAAGTCCCAGCCCTTCTTACCTTAAAAAAAAAGAGGCAAAAATACGAAAGCACTCAATTTTAACTTTGAGTAGTGCAAGCTGCTGAATACAGTACAAAGCTGTCCTGTGGCTGCTTCCTCCCCCCAGCCTGTCTGATACACCTGCTTGTGGTGTCTGCTGGAAGGTGGAGCATGTGTGTTGCTATTTGGATCTCTCTTCCCTGTTTCAGGCATCTGGTGTCGACGGCTCCGAAATTCCGGATGATGGCAAACTTATAGGATTTGCACAGCTCAGCATCAGCTAAATATTGGTCCCAGGAGATGTTTCCCAACAGAGAACCCACATGTGCATATTCGTAATGCTTCTGTTAGCCTAAAAAAAAACCACTACTGCCAAAGAATTGAACTACAGCCCCCTTCCTAGAAGCTTTAACATTTTCCTTGATAGGATCACAAACCTTCCTGAAATTACCGATGACGTTTACACCTTTTGTAAACAACTCTCATGTTTTTGTATCTGTCATCTCAAACATGCAGACCCAACACATCATTGCCTGCATGTTCATTTTATTATTGCCTTACTTTAAAGAAAAAATACTACTGAGTACGAAGCAGGGGGTTCCACTGCTCTGATGATCTTGCCTAAGTGTTTGCTTACATGTGGTTTCATTTTTTTTCACTTGCTGTTTTTGCACAAGTTTTAATACTGAACAGATTTTTTTTCTTTTTGTTTTTGGTTCTTTACCTGCTTCTCCTTCTATCTGAAACACCAGTGTATGTGTTGTTTGGGTCACCTGGAGTGCTGAGAAATCTGCTTCTCTTTGGCTGTGTGATTTAAAACTGCTGGTTTGAATGCTTGCACCTGAGAAAGCAAGCAGAGTCTTAACTCACAGGAGGGAGAGCTTCTTTCCCTTGTGTTTGTGTTTTTGGAGAAGTTCCTTGACTTTGAGGTGTTAGAAGTCAGCTTCCCTATGTAAACTGCCTTAATTTTTTTCTTTTTTCTTTATCATTTTGGTTCTCTCCACATGAGTGCCAGGCATGGCATGAGGGCTGAACCTTTTAATTTACATTTAGCAGTCCTTCCTGCTGCTTTCATTCTGCATCTTAGGCATAGTCTGTTCCTGAAGCAGACCAGGGAGGCATTGCTGCCTGGAAACTGGTCTTTCACATGGTGAACACAATACCCATGGTCACAGGGAGAGGAGATCTATGTCACTCTGCCTTTGGAACAGATGCACTTGCAAGTGTCCCTGAAACCCAGTTTGGTCATGCCTGGCTGGCTTCCCAATGTGTTCCCCAGTCCTTTGCAAGCTGGTACCCGTGGAACCATCCCTGTCGTGTTTTACAGCAATAAAGAATCACCAGTAGAGTGGCTGTACTGGGCAAAAGCGGGCGCTGCGTTTGTCCCTCCTGCTCTCAATCCCTTGGGTCGTCGGGCTGCACCTCAGCCCAAGCCTCGACGTTTGATCAGGATGTCACTGCACCCCTGTCACACACGTATTTAGCTTTTCTTTCCATGTGGTGGTGAAGTTGAGTTTCTACATGAATAATATAAATTATGCTCTGAGTTTGATAAGAGACACTTGTAATGCAATATGTGAATAATAAATGGTGTTGACTTTTTTTTTTCCTACTGTTTCACAGTTGGCCTTTGTAACTGCTCTTGGCTCTGGAGTGTTTTCTACACAGAAGTTGTAAGTCTGTAATTTAACATGCAGATGGAAACGAGCTTTGTTTCCATCAGACACAAACAATGCAGAAACAGAGCGGAATGACTAGGTTCAATTAGGACTTTTGTTCTGTTTCTTTTTCTTTTTTTTTTTTTAATTTCCAAGTCTTCAGATGAACAATCTGTATTTATATCTTGTTCTCTATGAGCAGCTGTGGAAGCTTCCTGAATTGTGCATGTTCTTTTTTTACCGCCCCTGTTGCTTGTAGCCTCTGGGTGGATATTGGCTGTGTCCCCATGGGCTGTCTGCAGCCCCATGGCTGCTGAGTGTGAAGGGGAGGGAGAGGAAGATGAAAATTTGGGAGTGAGATCATCCTGGGGTGCTGAGCCCAGGAAGCAAGTGCCCAATAGCAGGGAGTTGGTGGTGGCTGGGTTGGCAGGTGTGTGTTGGCACCATTCCCTGTTGCCTGACCCAAAGCACTCCCTGCAGTGTCCCCCATTGAGCTTGCTGGCTTGGGAAGAGCAGGCTGGCACCTTGATTTTCCCATCACCCTGTGCTCAGTGTGGATGTGTTGGGAGCCTTTAGGATACAGAGACAAGGTAGTTGTGGTACAGTATTATTTTCCCTCTGCCTGCATGCCCTGGGGACCTCCTCATTCATTTGTGTACTGGTGCTGAGGAAGGTTAGGACTCAAACTGCTCAAATGGAACAATGCAGTATCTATTTATTGTTATTCCCCATTTTCCCAAAGCCAGAACTTAGAGAGCTTGAGCTCACTCTAACCCAAGGTTCCGTAGTTCTTTAATGGAGAAAATAAGTGAGGAAGAAGCTGATGGGTTTTGCTCTATGGATCTCCAGATCTTTTGGGTAGGGATCCAAAATATTTACTTGGGCTATTACAGTGCTAGACAACTGTCTTTTCTGATGTTGTTCCAGTAAGTGCCAATGCTGTTCATAATTGTTTTCCAGTGTCATTAAGAATTTGGTTTTTGTGCAAATTTCTGATCTGAACCTGGAAGCAGGTGGTAATTTTAAGTTAGTTCCTACTTTTAAGGACAATGCTCTGTTAATGAAAACGGATCCTCTTCACAACTTTGGTGTATTGTAGATTATAATGAAAGATGTAAAATAGTCAGGCTTTTTTTCCTTTTTTGGACTTTGTATTTTACTGCATGTGTCTAATTTTTAATCAATAAAGAACAAATTGTCCATTGCCAGGTGTGTGATGTGTGGTTTGCTTGTCACTGGGTTGGTTGGTTGGTTGGTTGGTTTTTCTGAGTGGTGTCTGCAACCCCTGGGGCATTTGGTTGGGGTGGTGGGAGGTTTGACAGCCCCCAGGAAAACTCTGTAGGGAAAGGGAGATCAAGTCCAGGCTGGATGGGGCTCTGAGTAACATGGTCTGGTGGGAAGTGTCCCTGCCCATGGCAGAGGTGGAACTGGATGAATTTTAAGGTGCCTTCCCACCCAAACCATTCCCTGAGTGCATCTTTGCAGGAGTTGTGTGCAAAAATGGAGCCAGGAGGGCACTCAGGGTGGTGCCCTGAGAGCTTGTCTGTAGCCAAGAGGTTTGCTCCAAGCTCTGCATGCCCTGTGCAACTGGGAATGAGCTTCCCCTGTCCAGGAAAGCCTCAGCATGACACAGGCTGGTGTGAAAGTGGGAGGATTTATACCCTGACAAGTGGTGAGAACATGAACTGCACTCCCTCCTCTGCTCCACAATAACTGTTCTTTGTGGGTGCCCTGGTCAGCCCCAGTGGGGCATCCATGGTGTTTTCCAGCATGCTTTACAATGCCCTTCTCATGGATCTGTGGGCAGCAGGAGTATCCAGGTGGCTTTTGGGCACCTCGTGGACATCTCAAAGGGGTCCCAGGTAAATGCTTTTCCTACAGGAAGAATGGGCTGAGCAGTGCTGGATTTGTGTTCTCAATGATAATTTTAGGCATTTCAGCCTCAAGCACCATTGCCCTGTGTCAGATTTCTCCATCCCTTTCCCTAAGTTCTTTCTGCATTTAGCCCCCAGCAGCTGCAAGGTGGCCCAGAACTGGTGGGAAGGGGGGACGTCCTGTACCTTGGCTTGCTTGTGTTGCACAGGGAAGCTGCAGAAGATGAAGGGAATGGCAGCTCCATCCCCTGGAATCACAATGAACTGGCTGCCCTTCCTCATCTCTGCTTCTGCCCATCATTAACATAATTCCCTTTATTTCTCTGGGCTGTTCCCAGCTCTGCATCACGCCGGGCTTGTTTTGGCCCCTCTGAACCTGGCTTTCCTGAGTGGTTCAAATGCAAATGCAGCTGTTGTAGTGACTGTGGAGAAGAGTCTGTTCCCTGTCCATGCCACCTGGCCCTGGCACAGGAGCTGGCCCAGGTTCCCTGAAGCAGGGGTCCTTCTGCCCCAGCCAGCACTGGATGTTTGTGGGTGGCACAGGGATGATTAATATATTACAAGGTGTACTTCTAGTGACTGCCTATAACTGCAGAGCTTATCTGAGGTTTAAACATTAATTCCAGCTCTCTGGGAAGTCTGTCCCAGCACTGTCCTGTCCCAGATACAGCCACCAATGTCAGGTGTCGGGGAAATTTTGAAAGCAGTTGGTGATTTTGGGCGATTCCAGAAATGCCTGGTGCTGCTGTCTGTGATCCCCTGCCTCAGTGTGGCTTTCCACCAGTTTTGCCAGCTCTTCATGGTGGTGGAAGTGCCTCACCGCTGTGACACCAGCTGGATCCTCGCCGTGGGCCCCAACCTGACAGAGGAAGAGCAGCTGAACCTCACCCTGCCCCGGGGCCCCAACGGGCACTTTGAGCAGTGCTCCATGTTCTCCCCGGTGGACTGGGACCTGGATTCCATCCTGGCCTATGGGCTGAACCACACTGAGAAGTGCAGCAGTGGCTGGGTGTACCCCTCCGAGCAGCCACCGTCCCTGCTGACCGAGGTCTGTACCTGCTGCTGCATCTGCTGGGTGTGGAAGGGATGGGGCACCCACATGGCCACAGCTCCCCCAGCGCTGGTGCCTGGCCATGGTGCAGCTGGGATTTACAGCAGGTGTGAGCTGGGGACCTTGGCTCCACCATGCAGGCCCAGGTGTGGTCCTGGAGAGGGTGCAGGCTGTGCCAGAGGTGCCAGTGGGGAGATGAATCACTCCTGCAGGGACCTCCTGCCCCGGGATTCCCCATCCCTCTGCATCCAGAGGTTAACCTTTCCAATTTAATATAGAATGGTTTGGCTCAGAAGGGTCCTTTAAAAGTCATCTAGTCCAACCCCCAACATCACAATTGTTAGCTGAGAAAGATGCTAAATTAGCCTAAAGGAAAGTAGGTTTAAGATTAAATATTAGGAAAAAATTCTTCACTGTTAGGGTGGTAAAGCCCTGGCACAGGTTGCCCAGAGAAGCTGTGGCTGTCCCATCCCTGGAAATGTTCAAGGCCTGGTTGGATGGGGATCTGATTTATCTGATCTAGTGTAAGGTGCCCTGCCCATGGCAAGAGAGTTCAAATTAGATGATCTTAATGTCCCTTCCAACCCAAACCATTTTATGGTTCTATGATCCTTCCTATGTCACTCCTTCCATTGATGCCATCTGGGTGCTGGCAATTGCAGGACATCTCTTTAACAGAAACTGCTTGTCCCAGGAATCAGCATTGCATCCTTTCTCCTCTGGGAGCTCAGGTGGTCTGAGGAAGCAAGCTGCTACTTCTGTCCCCAGGCCCACCTAAAGCAAAATTTGCTGACCAGGAGGCTCCCCTGGGTTGGCTGGGCTGGACAAGGGGGACTCCTGCAGGTCCAAGTGCATGGGAGAGGGACCCCAGTGTGTGCCCCAAGGGCTTGTCCCATCTCTGCCTTGTGTGCCCTGTGCATACTGTGGGGATTCACATCCTTGGAAGTGGGTTTACCAAAGCATCTCTTTCTCCTTTCTCCAGTTTGACCTGGTGTGTGACAGGAAGGACCTCAATGACATTGCCCAGGCCATCTACATGGCAGGGCTGCTCCTGGGATCCATGATCTTTGGGCCTCTGAGTGACAGGTGAGGAGCCACAACCCCCTGCCCAGGGTCTGTGCAAAGGCAGCACAGCACAGACCAGGTGGTGTGAGCCTGTCTGGACTGTGCACCCTGTGCATTTTGTCACTTCTCACTGCAGGGACCCTGACCAAAGTCCTCGGGTCCCATGAGGACATGGCCACACAGGGAGGGGAAGGGAGAGAGACACAGCATGTGTGCACAGTGCTTCCCTTGTCACCCCACAGTCTACTCTGAGCCTTATCAGGGTGATAAGAATCACTGTCTAACCTGCTGGGCTCCTTGCCAATCTCCATGGGGTCTCTCCAAACACCGATTGTGTCCTCCCTGTTTCTCCCCAGGATCGGCCGCCGCCCGGTCATTCTGATCTCCGTCTTCCTGCAGGGCTTGTTTGGCCTGGGAATTGCCTTTGTGCCCCATTTCTATGTGTACATGGCCTTCAGGTGTGTGGTGGGGGCCTCCGTGTCAGGCATCACCATGACATTACTGGCCTTAGGTGAGTAGGATGCCCTCGCCCTGGGGCATCTCAAGATGCAATAGATAACTCTTCAAAGAAATAAAAATATCCGTGTTTGACTAGAACAACCCCGTGGTGAGGACAGGTCTTGATCTTCACTGTCCTTTGGTACTTTGGCAACTTCTCAGCCCTTAGTCAGAGCTTTGGGGAGCATCTGTCTCCAGCCAGTGCTCAGAGGAGGGCAAGGGGAGTACCCCAGAACAGGAGGTCAGTCTAATCCTCACCTCCAGAATAATTCTTCTCCAGGGAAAAACAGCTGTTTGCCTCAGGGGGAATACTTTGGATGACTGAGCCTTCTTCCTTTCAGCTACAGAATGGATCGGTGTCTCCTCCCGGCCAAATGCGGTGCTCACCTCTCACTGCTGCTTTGCCATCGGGCAGATGATTTTGGCTGGTTTGAGTTACGGGATTCGCAACTGGAGGCTGCTGGAGATTGCAGGATCTGCTCCTATGTTTGCCCTTTTCTTCTATATTTGGTAAGGAGGAGCAGGGCAGAGATTGTGGATGACTCAACGATGATGTGAGAACGTGAGTGAGGAGGAGACAGCAGCTCAGAACCAAGCTGGGTCTCTCCCATTGGCGTGCAGGTGCTGGAGGAGCTGCTGCAGAGCTCAGCACATCTCCCTGGGCACTGCACTGCTGAGAGCAGCAGCTGCTCTGCTTCAGGTCTCCAAATGTGGCCTTTGGAGCCCAAATTTAGGGTGTTTAGACCCATTGATCCCATGGGCCTTTCACTTTAGAGTTGGGCTTGATGATCCTTGTGGGTCCCTTCCAACGCTGAAGGTTCTGTGGTTCTGGGATCTGATCCTGTGGTGATTCCAAGGTTTGCTGGACATGGTCCCAGAAAGGGGCTGTGGGGGATCTCAGCAGGACACAGCAGCATGTTCTGGCCTCCTCTCATGGCAGGGTGCTCCCAGAGTCAGCTCGCTGGCTGGTGACCAAGGGCAGAATCGAGGAAGCCAAGAAGGTGCTGCAGAAGGCGGCGGCCACCAACAAGTGCAGCCTCCCACCAGAGCTCCTGGAGCAGGTACTGGGGGGTCCTGACCTCAGACACTGCCCTGGGCCTGGCAGCAGCCCCTGGGGCTCAGCTCATCCCAGAAACATCTCTGCATTCCCACTGGGGCTGCTCTGGCCATGGGCTCTGGGGGACTCCAGCTCCAGCTGAGTTCCACAGGGACCAGGTCAGGCAAGAGGCCCAGCCTCTGCTGAGGCTCAGCCTGGAGCTTTCTGGGCTCCCTCTGGGCATGTGGGAAGGACTGAAATGCTTCCCTGGCTTTTCTCCTGTGAGGATTCCAGGAGTGTCACTGATCAGCACAGAGTCTCTCTTTACTCTGTTTCCATGCAGAAATGCCCGAAGGGGAGTTCCCCCCTTGCCCACCCCAAAGTCCCCACACTGGGGAGATGTTCATCCTGAGGAACCTCTCAGTCACCATGCCCTGTGCTGGGCACACAGAGGGCAGTGGGGCTGCCCTCCCTGCCAGAGCACTGCGCTCACAGGCCTGCCCCACTGAGGCTTCCCATGGACTGCAAGTGGAAAAAGAGCTGGACATGGCTTTCCTTTTCTTGCTCTGACTCTTTGTCTTTCTGTGTTTTGAAGTTGAAGCCTGAGAAAGAGGTCAGGTCTGGAAGTTTCCTGGATCTCTTCCAGAAGAAGCACCTGCTGAAGGTGACTTTAATCATGTCATGTGCCTGGTAAGACACTCCCTGGTGCATTCTTCCCAAACTTCTACATGAAAGAAAAGAAGGGATTGACAATTAGTCATCAGGAAATTCACCTTGTGGCTTTTGAGTGTTATTTGATGGGTGTTTCTGCTTCTGGCTGTTTAAGGTGCTTTGTGGGAAAGGTTATAGCATTTCCAGCTTTGGCAGGCCTGTGGTATTCCTCTGGTTTTACATCTCTTGGGAAATGCTTGGTCCAAATAATTGGAGATCAATGCTGCATTTCCTCATGGCTGACACCTGCTCAGTGCCCCCTGCCTGGCTTTCAGGTTTGTGAACAGCTTTGTCTACTACGGGCTGAGTCTGAACGTGACAAATTTTGGCCTGGACATCTACCTGACTCAGCTGGCCTTTGGAGCAGTGGAAATCCCAGCCCGTTTTGCTTGTATCTTCACCCTGCAGAGGTTCGGGAGGAGGAAGACGCAGGCTGTTCTCCTGGTGCTGAGTGGCCTGGTGTGTCTGATCATCACTGGCATCCCTGAAGGTGAACACCCTCAATCCCCCACGGAGAGGATATCCTCTGGGACAGGGAGGCACAGAGCCTCAACCCTTCCCTTGCTGTTCTGTCCTCCCAGCCAGGGTGGTTCACATCCCTCTGGGCCTCAGCTGACCCTGGCCACACCGGCCTGGCTGAACCCACAGGGCCCAAACCAAAATTTTCTTGTTGATAGCAATTAGCAGAGGGCAGAGCTGAGTCCAGTGGGCTCCTTGTCAACAGAGCTGTGCTCTGGGAAAATTAATCCCTGGGGAGGTGAGATGGTGGGTGCAGAGCACACTGAAAGTGGCCACCAGGCCAGAGCAGCCTGGCCCATGCTCAGACACTGTCAGAGGCCATGGCTCCCTGCAAGTGACACAGTTGTCCCTGCAATCCCCAGTCACCATCTGTGAGTGGTGCTGAGCCCTCCCCCATCCCACAGCAGCCATCTCTCCTCCTCCCCTCAGACCAGCCCGTGGCAACCACCGTCCTGGCCACCATTGGCAAGTTTGCTGCCTCGGCCTCCTTCTCCACCTCCTACGTCTATGCTGCTGAGCTCTTCCCCACGGTCGTCAGGTGAGCTCTCCCCACATTTGGAGTGACCAGCAGTGATGGTGGTGGGGCAGGAGTTGTCCCCATGGCTCATCCCCGTGGTGGTCTGGGTGTGCTGACCCACAGCTCCCTCTCTCTGCAGGCAGACGGGCGTGGGGCTGTGCTCCGTGTCGGCGCGGGTGGCCGGGATCCTGGCCCCGCTGGTCCGGCTGCTGGGCCAGCACCACCGGGCCATCCCCATGGCCATCTTTGGCAGTGCCCCCGTGCTGGGGGGGCTGCTCTGCATCCTGCTGCCTGAGACCTGTGGCACTGACCTGGCAGATGACACAGGGGATGGCCACCCTCCAGCTCAGGTGGGTGCTGGTGCTGCCTCTGCGGTGGGGACGTGGGCAGCCAGCACTGGGGGAGCCCCTTGGATGTGCTGGGGGTTTCTTTAGGAGTTAGAGGTGGGAGGGCATGGAATGGGGATGTCCCACTGTGGAGGGAGGGGAGGAGACCCCATAATCCTGCATGTGGAACTCATCCATGTCACTATAGGACTTGAAACAACATGAGCACGCACACCGCTGCTCTCAAGGTGAAGAAAAAGGGAAGTTTATTTTCTGACTCCAACATTCATAGTTTCCCAAAAGTTACAGTGGATTGGAGGGTGAAAGTGCCACCTCTCCAATGACACTGGACAAACCAACAGTCCGTCAAATTTCTCCTCCTCCACAAAAGAATGCAAAACAATAAGTTATTTACAGAAAGTGTTTGAGAAAGTTTGCTACAAGAATGTAAACATCAGAAGGCTTAGAAAATCTTAAAAAATCAGGGTGACACACCCCTTCATTCCCGTCCATAGGATATAACAGCCAGTGCTCCCTCCCTCTGCCCTCCTCAGGGAAACGCTGGTACCTTGTAGCCTGTACCTGTACCAGCCCCATCCTCGGCTTTCACCTTCTCATAGCTCCCAGCCCTCATTCCCCATGGGACCAGCTGGAATTGCACCCCAATACTTCTGTTGTCTTGCTGGGAGAAGGGTGTTCACAGGAACAGTTGGGAATGGGGTCCAAGTTGCTGAAGGCTGCTTGTCTCAGGGCCAGCAGCCATCAGCTCATGGCACACCTTTCCTTGCTTTTACACACTTTTCCCTTTCAACAGGTCTGTGAAAATGCCACCAGCAGCTCTCAGAATGGGCAGGTGAAAGGAAAAGGTGCTGACCAAGACAATGAGAGCACGAAGACCACCTACTTCTAGCTGGGTCTGCAGGTGGCAGTGGATAAAGGCAGCCCAGTGCTGTGTGGGCACTGAGGACAGGCAGGGTCTCTCCTCCACAGGATACCACCTTTGCCTGGGCCATCACTGCCAATTCTTGGGCTTCCTTGTCTTTTTTGCCTTCCTGTATCTCCCTCTGTAGCTTGTCCTCAGGCACTGCAGGCTGTCGCTGGTGTCCAACTGTACTCTCACCAGGGAAAATTAGGTGCTTTTTACTTGAGGGGAAAAAAGAAAGAAAACAAGAAATAGAATGGAGGCAATTCCTCTTCATTTTTCCTGGTATGTCTCCAGGAAGATGAGACTGTAAACTTTGTCCAGTGAAACACCCACTAGAGCATTGGATAAACTTGCAAGAGAGAACTGGGCTCACTAACAGGAGAGCTGGAGCAGATGCAGCACTGAAAATAATCTCACACTTGCAAGGAGTGATTTATCGTGGCTGTCTAGCAAGATCATCCCGTTCTCTCATAAAAACACTCCTTTTTATTTTTTTCGTAAATTTGAGATACTCAGCTGAGAAAAAGAAAAAAAAAAGTGATGGAAGAAACAGCATGCAGGGAGCAAGGATGTCTAACAGGCAGCAGAATTTTCCTTTCAATGCTGGTGGCTTTGAATTGATGCCTATCATGATGCTTTGGGCATGGAAAACGGTGCTGTTGGGCTGCAGTGTGGGACCAAATTGATCTGTCCATTCCAGGAAACTGAGGGATGTTGTGGCAGTTGGTCTCTTAGAAAAAAGTACAAATCTTCCAGGGAAAGGGCAAGTCTTTTCTACTCTGTTCTAATCTCTTCCTTTATTGCTGGATCCATTTTCTCTTTAGAAGATTTAGGACCGCTTTTGTCTTATAGTGTTAAGAAAAAAAAAGTGTTTTTACTGTGCTTCCTTTCATATCATCTCAGGTCCCTCAATCCAACTTTCTTTTCCCACTGGATGGGTACAGAAGAAGCTTGGGACCTGCACATGGTGGTTCTTCCTCTTTGACTGTAAAACTCAAAGGTTATTTTCTGGTAGCGTCAAGAAATGTTAAACCACAGTATTTCTTCTCTCCATTGTCATGCCTACCTATTTTCCATGGACCAAAGTACCTCATGGATGTTTAGTTTGATCAAGACAGAGTTTTGGATAAAATTAGTGCCATGTGACATTGTCCTGCCAGGAGGGACTGGCTGTGGTGCTGTTTTTTCTCTGGCACTGCTTTTCAGAGGATTTGCTGTGGTGCTGATCTTCAGTACCCTGAGAACAAAGGAGTTCAGTCCTTTGTCCTTTCCTTGGAAAAGGCTGGGGAGTGCCTCCTTCAGGCTTTTATGGAAAACAAAGCATTGAGGGCAAAGGCTGAGGGAAGAGCTTGGAGCCAAATGTACAGTTATTGGAGGAACCACTTTGGGAATTGTACTCAGACTCTCTGTTTTAGCCCATTTCATAAATAAAGGCATCCAAGCACAGCTGATGTACTTCTGCTTCCAGCTCATCTGTGCCTCCAGTGGGCTGAAGATCCATTTTGTGGAATCTTGGATGGTTTGGGTGGGAAGGGACCTTAAAGATCATCTCGTTCCATTACCTCCCTGCCACATGCAGGTGCACCCTCCACTATCCCAGGTTGCTCCAAGCCATATCCAACTTGGCCTTGGACGCTTCCAGGGATGAGGCAGTGTCCTGATTTAGGGCAAATTTGGGAAGAAACTTCCAAAGGGGTCCCTCTAGAAAGCAGATTCAAGTGGCCTCTTCCACAACTGGTTTGGGAAAAGATTTCCTTGGAGAAAAGTGGTAAAAAGCTGGTTTTTTAACAAGCAAAGTATTCACGAGCATAAAAAATGAATAATTTAAAACAGTAAAAACCTCTTGCTGTTCTGAAGAGATGTCAAATACAGAAAGTCCTTTTTGTGGGGTGTAGCTTGTCTCACTCAGTCTCTTATCAGTCCCTCCTGTGCTGGAAATGCCACATCCTGGGCCCCAGTGGGCCACAGGTGTGAGCTCTCAGTCCTCTTTTTCAGTCCAGAGAAGGGCTGAACAGCTCCAAGAAAAAGAAAAAACACAGCCTGAGGAACCATTTCTGCCACAGCTAGCTAAAAACTAACTAAAAGCAAAGGAGAGCTGTGATCATGTTTGCAGGGATCCCAGGATGAGGGAAGAGATGAGAACCCTGACTCCATGTTTCAGAAGGCTGATTTATAATTTTATTATATATATTATATTAAAAGAAAATTATATACTAAAACTATACTAAAAGAATGGGAGAAAGGATTTCATCAGAAGGATAGCAAGGAATGGAAAGGAATGAATAACAAAAGCTCGTGACTCTCAGAGAGTCCGAGCCAGCTGGCTGTGATTGGCCATTAATTAGAAACAACCACATGAGACCAATCACAGATGCCCCTGTTGCATTCCACAGCAGCAGATAATCATTGTTTACATTTTGTTTCTGAGGCCTCAGCTTCTCAGGAGAAAAAATCCTAGCAAAAAGATTTTTCATAAGATATGTCCATGACAGAGAGCTCTCTCCCACTGTCCGTGCTGCAGGCAACACAGTCCAGGAGAAGGATGTGGGGGAGCAAGTGCAGTTTCTGATAACAAACTGTGCTCTTCTCTCCCTCTTTGCTCTCAGAACCAGTCTAAAGGTGCAGAACTTAATATCCAGCATAAACAGAACAGACAACTGGGGATCTAAGCATCATAAAGCCACCCTTGGACAGGCAGCCACAGCTTCTCTGGGCAACCTGTGCCAGGGCATCGCCATCCTCACAGGGAAGAATTTCTTTCTAAAATCTAATCTACATCTCCTCTCTGTCAGTTTTAAGCCATTCCACCTTGTCCTGCCACTCCATGCTCTTGTCCCAGGTCCCTCTCCAGCTCTCCTGGAGCCCCTTTAGGCAATGAAAGGGGCTCTGAGATCTCTCCCTGAAGCCTTCTCTTCTTCAGGCAGAACAATCCAAACGTTCTTCATAGGAGAGGTTCTTCAATCCCCCAATCATCTTTGTGGCCTCCTGTGGACTCACTCCAACAGCTCTGTATTTTATCTGCTCTTCTCTGGATCACTGAATCTTGTGAGTTTGAATACCCCTGCACTTGAAGAGCACCTGAACAGCTTGACTCACGTTTTGCCCAGCTCAGCACAAGTGGGACGATGTCCAATGTTTTTGCAGTGCCTCAATGTCGCTCCTAGCCAGCCCACACATGGCCTTGCACTGAAATGAGTAGAGGTGACAGCACAAAGTGGAGCCAGGGGTGCTGGAACAGCATGTGGGAATGCAAACATAAACCTGTGGGAATGCAAATACACTTCTGCATGCACACAGTGGGGAGTTCTGGGCTCTCAGGATTGTGAGGCCATGGGCAAAGGGTAAAATGGGACCTAAGGAAGAACTAAGAATGATTCCATATTGAGGGAAGGGAGCCAAAAAGTTAACAAGGTGATGAGGACAAAAGGGGATAGAGAAGTTTAGGTGGGAAGAGGAGGTTTTCTCATTTTAGAGACAAATTTAGGAGAAAATGCTCTGGAATGAGTGTTTCTGCTAAAGAAAAAATGCTTCAGTAATCCCTTTTCCTGTCAATGAGAAGATGGATACCAGTGGGCGAAAGTGAAAAAAACCAACTGTTCATTGACAAAGTGCCCACGTGGCAAAGGAAAAAAATTGAACAAATGCTAGATATTGAACCATCAGAACCTTACCCCCAACACATACAAATACCCCACAGCAGAACAAAAACCCCCAAAATTCCAGGGAAGGAAACAAACAGCCCAGCTGTGTGGCAGGGGGAACAAAATGGCACCAGCTTTTTCGTCTCAGGGAAAGAAAAAAAGCTCATGCAGCAGCCTGGGCAAAACAGATGGGAACCCGTGGAACCTCTAGTGTTGGTCTCTTCCTCACAGCAAATGAAGCTGATGGATTTTGGTGTCTTTTCTCTTGTTGATTCAGCTTTTCCTGAGGTGTCAGGCCAGGCAGAGCAGCTCCTGCCGGATTGGCTCCTGGTGATTGTCAGTTCTTGGACCAAAACCAAGGTGAACAATTAAAAAAAAACAAACCAAAAGCTGCAGAAGGATTGCTGCTGCAGTCTCTTCAGGCCAGGAAAAGAAAAAAGAATTTCTTGCTTAAGTTAACAAAAAATCCAAGCAAGCCAAGCAACAGCCTTGGGGTGATTTTATGATGATGCTCTATTTCCTGTCTGTTTTATGCCTAGAAATGGCAAAAACCATTGCAGCTTTAGGATGGATCTGGGAGGAGGATCAGGAGCCTGGGAGCCCCGGTGAGGGCATTGTTCAAAGACTGTCTTGATTTGAACAGACAGGTGTGTGCTGAGGAAGGCAAGAGCCTCCCTTGAAATGGAAAATGTAAACCCTCTCCCTCTGAATTATTATAATTTTGAAATTAAGGGGCTCTCAGGCCCTTTAAGAGATATGGGAGTAGGAACAACAGTTCTTTATTAGGGAAATTAAAATAAAAATGCAGTGATACAAAACAACACTGCCAGTGAGAACAGTCCCTGCCCCCTGTGTGTCAGGGGGTGTCCCAGCCCCATCCCACGGGGGCTCAGCCCTCCTGCAGTGCCAGCTGTGGCTCTGCTGCAGCAGGGATCCTGCACAAGGGGGGAGTTTTCCTCTGCAGCTCCAGGGCTGCTGCAGATGGGCCTGGGCTCCCTCTGGCCATGCAGGGCAGCAGAAAGCTGCTCCTCTGGCAATGCAGGGGGCAAAGGCTGCTGTGCTGTGCCAGGCTCAGACTGGATCCAGGGAGGAATGCTTGGTTCCTCCCCTGGGCGGAGCATCTCCCCATGGGATGCTGGGATTGGATCAGCCCTGCAGGGACGCTCAGTGGCCATGGACAGCAGAGATCTCCTGGAGGGAGGATTGGTTGGAAGAGATAAAGAAAAAACTGCCCAGTGAACAGAAGATAACTGCCCCACCTGGTTCTGACAGATGGCAGGAGAATACACACCCCAGCCACATCTTGCATTGTGATTTAAGGCTCACTCCCAGACCTGTTCAGTG